CGATCGTGAATACGAGGACGATTATTATTACGAACGTCGACGCGCGGGCGATAATGAACGTCAGTATAATGCCCGCGACGACTTCGAACGACGGGATGTTCCGTATCGCGAAGACGAACGTAAGCATCACAGTCGCGATGACTTGGATCGACATGGTAGAGACGATATGGATAGAAGAATCAGGGGAAAAGAGGATCTAGATGAAAGGGACAGTAGGAGAAGACCAGATGATCGCAGAAGAGACAGAGGCGATGACAGAGATCCACGTCGTCGAGATAGAGATCCAAGAGATTATGATGCACGATATTCTAGAGATCCTAGAGATAGAGAATATATGGATCGTGAAAGGAGAAGGGATGATAGACGATCACGAAGATACGAAGATTATGATATTAGAGATCCATATAGAAGAGACTACTACGATGATCCTTATGGAAGAAGGTATATTTATTTATTTATTTATTTATTTAATAATTTATTTATTAATATATTAATTTATTGTATTTTACATTATTTTATATTTACTCTTTCATAGTTCTAGGCCTTCAAGTAGATCTTCTTACAATGATAGAGACCGTGAATACTACATGCGTGCGAGAGACCCTTATTATGCATACAATGGTACGTGTGATGCAATATACAACAATTCTAAATATTAAAAAATAACGTTCTTTTATGTGAAAGTAGTTATTAAATATTTATTCGATTGTGAATGTGCAGGATACAGTGGATATGATTATAGTGCTCATTATGGTAACAATTATTACGCATATCTTGAAAACTTACGTCGAACGAATCCTGCTGCCTATTCCGAGTGGTACCACAAATATTATGCGAATCAACATCAGCAACAGCACATTGCCAGAGGAGTCAGTAATTATCCAGAGGATAGAGCCAGTGTTCATTCTGGCCGTAGCTCCTGCGATGACAGGTATGCTCTGAAATTTTCTTTTTAAAAAATTAAAAAAATTCTTGAACAATCAGTTTTGTTTCTTATTTTAAATTTTATAACATTCATTGTATGTCAGATTTTTTCCAATCCCAAGTGCATGTTTCCGTTCACCCAACAAGACATTGTATATTCCACATTTTGGATATTCCGGATGGGCCGGAAATCTGCGGGAGCGCAGTACGATTTGTCGCAATTTTAATAGGTGAGACCGAGAGTCTTCTCTCGGTTCGAAATGTTTAAGCTAGATTTTTCTAAAATTTAATTTCTCCCAGTATTTTAAAATTTCAATTATGGCAATTTTGGTTAAATATACGTAGCGTGTAGAAAATTTGTATAATTATTTGTAATAATTCATATCAAGCGTATATTATCATAACAATTATTTAATGCAATAAAATATTATACAGTTATGACAATTGTGTATAAAAATATAGTAAAACTTCGTTTATCCTATCGAGAAATAGTTTTGATAACCGTATATAATTCGGATAATAAAAGCTTATTAGCTCTCCCCTCTATTAGTACCTATTAGTTCCGATAATAAAAATTGACTTCGGAAAACTGAAGTCGAATTCTTATTATCCGAACTATGGCGCCATTTCAGATAAGGAGAGTTCAGTTATGAGTTCGTATATAAACAGAGTGCAGACAAACGGAATTCCACATAATAGAATATATGTAGAATTATTTTAAAAAATGCTTAATTTTGCTTATATTTTAAATTCGTTGCAAAATTGAAGTGGAATACGCTTATTTTACACATAATTATATGTCTTCATAATATATTGTTTATATGTTTCATAATTCTTTAAAGATTCTCTATTAAAAGAAAGAATACTGTGTTTATTTCAGGACTACTGGTGATAAACGAACATTGGGTGATATGTCCTTAGAAGATACGATAATTACTTCTGCTCGATTGACACCGACTAAATATTCCACGTCTCATGCATATGGTATAATTTCTGATATTAATTGTATTTGTTTTTTTTATTAATGCTTAATATCATTGAGCTAATTAAAAAAATGATTCTCTCATAGGATGCTTTTCCATTGGATCTTTGATCCATGTTCATCCTAGTTACCCAGCTGATGGTGAAAGAGCTAAAGTGGATATTTTTCGCGTAGATAGCTTACTCTCGCATGATCCCGTTGCACGCGATTTACGATTATATCCAGGACCTCTAATTAAGTAAGTAAAATCATATAAAAGTAAGTAAATTCAATACAAGTAATATATATAATGATGACTTTGTTATACAGTGGTGTAACGCATAAGAAGACTATTATAGAATATTGCGAAAATAAAATTAAAAAAGCAGTGATAAATGAAGAAATGATCGATCGCGCTTCATACATCTTGCTATACGAACTGATGATTATGTTAATTCAACAAAATGGAGTAAGTTTTTCTTCATTAAAAAAATAGTTTAAAACACTCAAATTAATTAATATCGTTCAAATTAATTAATATCGTTTAAATTCGCTATTCAGAACGTTGTTGGCGTCGATATTGCTGGACTCTTATTGCGTAATAAGGATGCTTATCCTTACGATGCGAATAAGTTCAGATCTCAAGATATAGGACGCAGAGAATCGCAAATATCGCAACGTTCTGGAGCAACGGGCAGCGACGGAAGTACCCAGGACATTTCAGCATTATCCGAGAAAACTGAAACCAAGCAACGAAAAACCGTAGAACAAGTAACAGATGAATTCAGAGATACGTTACTCTATGGACGGGTTCAAGAAGCATTAGGTATATAAAAAAGGCTTAATTTTTTTCTCGTTAAACGTTATAAATGTTACTAATTTTTACTTTTTATTTACCTATAACAGAGTACGCAATGAACGAAGGACTTTGGGGCCACGCTCTCTTCCTGGCTAGTAAACTGGATAAACGCACGCACGCTTCTGTAATGACTCGTTTTGCAAACAGTCTGCCATCACACGATCCACTGCAGACCTTGTATCAACTGCATTCTGGTCGTATACCTGCTATAGTTACGGTAAAAATTATGACTTTGTTTTGTAATAAAATTATTCACGCTTTTTCGTCATGATACTAATTATTTCTTTTTTTCTACAGTGCGTCGCGGATCCGCGCTGGGACGATTGGCGGCCTCATCTAGCTATGATTATATCTAATACCTCGACCAATCCAGAAGTTAATCGCCGATCAATAACGACTCTCGGGGATACATTATTCGCGAGGGGCGACATCCATGCCGCACATTTTTGTTACATACTCGCGCAAATTGATTTCGGCGCTTACGGAACTAATGGAGTTAAACTCGTGTTAATCGGCGCTAATCACAACAAGTCGTATTCTGAATTCTTTACCATGGAAGCTGTCATGTTAACAGAAATTTATGAATACGCTCGGAACCTTAGCGATCCGCATTTCACATTAGTAGATCTTCAAACATTCAAATTTGATCTAACTGTAAAGATGGTGGATTGTGGATTAATAGAAAAAGCTTTATTGTATATCGAACAGATTGCAATAAATATCGCAAACGATCCATTGAAATACAAGAAATCCTTCATCAAAGCGGTTCATATATTAGGCGATCGAATCAAGTATCACGATCCAGTCTATAAGGATGCTATCGAAGATGCTGCGAATGTTACGTGGCTTAACAGATTAGCGGAGATAGTTGGAAAATATCAGGTTAGTATGATTCTTTTACGACAAATGATATTTAATTTTACGTTAATGCAAATATTAAATAGAATTCTGTTATAGGATGAACAGGTTGTCGAAGATGAAACATATGGTTCTCGTACTATAGAAAATCAGGAAATTCATGAAGTAAAACATCAGCAACAGCAATCTTCGCAACTACCATTATCATCACAACAACAATGGAACACTATCCAACCCGATTACAATGACGGGCCTACGTCGATGATGGAAATTAACACGAATGAAATGCAATCAGATTGGCAACCATTATCTTTGCCCACGAACATTCAAGATACATACGATCCGAATGCGCAATATATGAGAAACGTAGACGAATCTGTTCAATATCAGCAGTCGCAACAACAGGATTATTGGAACCAGCAGTCATATTATCAAAATAATTATGGAAGAAACGAATCTATACAGTCTAATTGGCAGCAACAGTCTGCACCAGGCTTAACTGATCAGACTGAAGTAACTAATTCGCAACAACAAGACAAATGGAACTATGAGGTATATTAAAAAGTAGCTATTGTATTTATTACACCATCTTTGAATACAAAAATTTAATCATTACGCGTCTCTTCCTCATAATATATATCATCTTCACATTCTCATATAATTTATATAATTTTTGTATCACTTTCATATTTTCATCTTTTCATGAATATCGAATTTTTTACAAAAATGATATATCTCAATTTTGTTCATAATTTTTTACATTATTTGCCATAAAGTATTGCGATTAACTATAGACTTATATAATAGATTGTACGCTTCCATTGGAAATGTGAAGACAACATTAGTAACATAGGGCAATATTTGATTAGATGCTCTGTCACATAATGCGCAATTAAACAAAGAAAGTATATTCAATAACTATTGCTTTTTCTTACTATTGTTGTCCTCACGTCTCCAATGGAAACGTACAGTCTAATATATAAGTCTATACAATTAACACTTGTTTTCTTTAATGCTTGCTCACCGACAGACGGAAAGAGAAGACAAAACACCCACACCTGAAGTAAGTAATTGCGGACTTACCTCGGATAATATTCTCGATCTTGAAAGATTACCAAATGTTGCCGATACTAATTTGTTACGCCGTCGAAATGTGTCTGTAAAATCAAATCCGTATATCGCCTCTGCATTTGATGATAATACTCCTGGTCATGTATCTACATTCTTTAATCTGTCTAATGATAATCTCGATATGAAAGTTCCAAATTCTCGTAAGAAATATCCCAAATTGACTATGAGCTATCCAAAAATTTTACCAAACAAAGTACACCCAAAAGATAGAAAACCGAGACGTGTCGATCCTATATTTTCGAAACCACCGTGCTCGCAACCACCGGTATTCCTAAAATGTAAGATTAAGAAAAAGAATCCGTCCGAGGATAAAGAAGAAACGGCGCCAGACAGATCAGATAAGGGAAATTTATCCGTGTCTCAAACTACAGATCTAGACATTCAATTTAGCAAATTGAAACTCGAGTCTCTTTTAGCGCCGGACTTATCTTTCGGAACCAAAGAGAGTCACGTTACTTTCAGTAACGAAGCACAAACCTTAAAACAATATTGTAATTTCGAGGAGAAGAAAGTTATGAGAGTTGCACCGCATATTCGTAGAAAGGATGTTATTTGCGATACGGTAGACGCGTGGTCGTATGATAGTACCGGGCAAAATATTTCCGAATCGTCCAGATATAAGCCACTAGTTTTTGGTGGCACATATCCGATTGATTTACCTCTTAGATTTAGAAATAATAATCATCTAATCGATGATACTTCTGCTAAGAATAGTACGTCTTTAACTTATGACATTGATATGCCCACAAAATGCGACTAAAAAATAATCTGTAAGCGTATAGAATTGTGGCCAAGTTTTTCTGTACATGTAAACACAGAGATAAGATGTAATAGTAATTCTATATTGATAGATAATTGGATTTTCTTCAAGTATTAACAAAAAAAATTTTTTTTAATCTGGCAATACATAATTTTTATAGTACAATAAATAATATTTTTAAATATTTAAAAAAATTATTGAAAATCAGAATTATCAATTTATATACATGATTGTGTTTATATATTATTATCTCAAAAGTCAAATTTTTACATGTTACATAAAAAATATTCAAATACTAATGAGGAAAGAATCCATATGCTGTGATGAAATAGAGATATAAAGAATCCTGTTTTGTGTCATTAATTAATATTATGTAATTTTTCAAAGTTCTAATATTTTAAGCGTTGTTTAAATGTATATATATATATATATATATATATATATATCTATTGTTACTGTTGGCATCAAACGTATAATAAAGTTTTGTCATATAATGCATTGCCTTGAACTTCTTAAGATTATAAATACAATTGATTATTATATAAAGATGTAGGTTATTGTATATATAGATATCGAAGATTTTAAACTTAGGGGCCATGTAATGTTCATTAAAATTATTAAAAAATAGTTATGTGGAATAGTTAATGTGGATTTAAAAAATTGATCTCGTCATAAAATTAAAAATTATTTCCACAGTTAATACTTACCAACATGTCCTCTAAGTTCTAAATCCTTTTTCTAATAATTTATCTGCATCTTTTGCGTTTATCTAAGATTTTTAATATGATTTTGTTCTTAATATCTTTCTGATTGTACATTTTGAACGTTCCAACATTCCAACATAGAGCGACATCATTCCTAAAATAAATCTGGTAAGCAAAGTTTCTCATTTTTTACTGTAATACATTTGTGAGTATCGCATATTTTTTAAGTGTTTTGTAGAGTGCGATCAAAACTTTTAATTAGCATGTGATAGGCGAACTCGCATCGTTACAGTAAATAGTGATAAACTTTGCTGGAACAAGCTTGCGATGATCAATCGTATATTTTATTTCAGCCTGCGCCAACAATTTCTATGACACCGTCAACGGGTAAACAATATGATCCATTGGAAGAATTAGATGCGCTTGAGACACCACGACAAACTGCTAAATCTGCGGCGGACACGAAGAAAATAACCGAAAAAACGGCTGAAAAGAAATCTTCCAACAGTGGTGGCTCCTGGTTCGGTGGTTTATTCAGTAAACTTGCGCCCAAGCCGAAAAATCAAATGATATTGCCGGACGATAGCAACCCAACGGTAAGAATTTGCCACTGCTTTGTATTTTCCTCCAGTTCATTAAAAAATTACGATGGACGGTTTTATGTTTTATGTCGTTAAGGGCTTGCGCGGATACTTTTGGTAATAGAATGCTACTTATGGTTACAACAATGCTTATAAGATGGACGATAAACAGGCCAGTATAATGCCAAGGTTTATTGAGTAACTGTTGATTAACAAGTTGCTATTAAACTCCTCTAATTTGTTAGCTAGATTTTTTCCTAACATACGAATGTCAAACAGTGGAGAAAAAGTTGTTAGTGAAATCTTGTAATCAATTCTGTCGTCTTTTGTATTACAGATTGTATGGGATCCAGTCGCGAAGAAGTGGATGAACAAGGATGAGGATGGCGACAGCGGTACCACGGCATTGGCCCCACCGCCGAAAACAGCCGACATGAGTTTCCAAGCACCGATAGTGGAGCGCGTTCCACAGCCATCTTTACCAAGTGCACACAACGAGGATATATCAGCGGCGGATATTTCGAAATTGCCTACTGGTAGTAATATGTACAAACTGCAAAGGGGTAGGAGTATGCGTGCTAACTACGTAGACATAATGAATCCGAGTGGAAAATCCAAAAGTAGCGCGGCATCGTCTAATGTGGCCACCCCCATGACGTCTCCACTCGTACCTATAGCTACTTCATCCCCGCAGGTGTTGGTACCCGCGCCAAGTAAGTCGAATTTCTAAACTTTAATTCTCTTCGATTTTATTCATGTAAATTTGAATCTCAGCTTGTTTTTCTCATTTGAAAATATAATATTTAGAGACAGCGAAAAATTGAATGAATAAAATACTTGAGAATTGAAAAATCTAACATGAGAGTTGAAACATTGAAAAACAATTTGTCCAAAAGTAATGTTGCCTTTATTATGATAGTTAATGATCCAACCGCTCCTGTGGATTTCCTGACTCCTGCAGCAACACCGCCGTCTGGAAACATCGCGGAAAATACCCCAGTAAGTGCCACGTAATACACACTTGTGTGGTTTCACGAATATTGAACTATAAATGTATTATCGACACCAAACTATATATTTATAATGCAACTACACACACACACACACACACACACGCACATTGTGTGTCTCCTATTATTAAACCTTACATTACACAATACATTTGTTGTCCCTTGCGTTGTGGCTGCAGTTTTCTGATATGCAGCTTAGCATTTGTTTCAGCGTGTTTCTGAAACCATAACGTTCCATAACGAATTTTTTCTATACGTTCTCTACACAATCATTGTGATATGAACAATCTGTACACTCATTCCCCTAGTTTTGCAAATCGTGTATTTTTCTCAAAAGTATTTTTTCATGATATCTTTGAATTGATCGTATTTATTAATCTATATATATAGCAATTATATGTTCACTGGCGATCAATCAGTAGAAATTTTTCACGAAATGTTTATGGACTAGACTGCTCCAGCACTATGCCAGTTTCTCCTACCCTCCCCCCCCCCTATTTAACCGGAAGAAATAATCGCTAAAACAATCAATGTTATTAATAGCATTAATTAAAATACACTTTTATTGCTTCCTACATTTCATTTTAATGACAGTGATACTCAATTAGATTTCTCCACTTTGCTACAGATTCTTTCTTTTATATACCTGTGTTTAATCTTACCTTTCTTTTTGTGTTTCTTTATGCAAGCAGTCGGGGAAGCAGAATGATGTAGCCAAATAATAATTATTGCTCATAGTAAGGACATTCATTTTATTAATTTTTACATATCATTTGATGTTTTACGCACACGCTTTCTTCTTACCCACCGCTTCATGGAAATGTACATATACCTATGTAGCTTTCTTGCATAAGAAAAGGAAGGCTGTATTGCATTTCATAATTAAAGCTGATTATTAACATCTTATATAGCCACCAATGAATTTAATATCGCTTTGCATGTTTATGTTCTTAACATTATTAGCAATAGAATGAGCGTACCTTCCTTGTGATTATGAATAGTTTTATGTAATGCACATCCTTTGTAAAAAAAAATCCAATAATCATCTGTGTACTTACCAAAGCATGAAAGTGTTCCTTTCTACTTTTTGCTGAAATACAGCAGTTACGCTGTAATACACGAGAACATAAATACCGTAATACTAATTTTCACGTTGTGATGTGAGAGAGAGCCTTACGCTTTATTAAATAAGTTTGTTGAAACGCTATTTTTTTAGCTATGTCTGCGAGTTAAGTGCAACGTGTAATCGTGCATAAATTGGTATTACACTCGTAAACATAGAAAATAAGACTAGCTAATCACAAGCGACGTAGCGAATATCTGTTAGTGAGACAACGTTATTGTATTGTGTATGGTATATAGCTCTCTCGCTGGAGCTCGACCAGCTCGTTATCACGAGAGGTGCAGAGCTACACAATGAGGGATCCGCGGCTCCTTCAACGGAACAAGGTAATCCAATGGCATTAACTTCTCCCGCATTTCCAAGGTGATCACTTTCCAAAATATTACTACGAAACATACTATGGTACGAGGGATTATGCTAGTACGATTTTTTTGTCTTCTAATCAGTTTGTCCATGTGTCAAGCAAGATTCTTATTATGACTTAACGCTACTTACTAAACTAGCTTACGCTTATCAATCATCATCAATCACTACTTTCATGAGATCTTTAATCGTAGAATCGTGGGAAAACTTGGTAAAGGATTTTAGATGCAGGTTTTGTAAAATAACTTTACACGTTATTCGGTTACTTTTACTTTTGTTATTTGTTAAGATATATATATATATACATGTATATGTGTATAACTGTTTCAGTTTATGTCTTATCTTTTTGCGCACTGTAAATTACAATTGCGCGGTCACATATTTTTAACGAAGGATAAGGATTTAAAAAAGTATATGTTCCCTTACTGCTTACATACAAACTATAATTAATACGAATAATTATAAAATAAAAAATTGCGCAAGCTCGAAAATCGGAGGACTTACTTTCATCTCTAGTATGTTATTATATAAAACTATTAACTTGTTATTAATTTTATGTACTTTAAGCCAAGGACATTTTTTAGGGACCAATGATGTTCAACCCGAGTGACATGAAGGATCGTTCGGTGAAGAACATGCCACCTAGCAGATATCATCCACGATAATTTTTTTGCAACAGCTCATGAGAATAATTTGTTATTTAAATTAGGAAGTTTCTTATATAATTGCAGTTGTATTTAATGTGAATATCTGTTCTTGTACAGAAAAATCGTGACAACAATAGTATATTTTTAGAGTGATGCACGGTGCATACAGTCTCTTTCGAAAGGGTGTATACGACGTAAGAATCCAGAAGATACGCGTCTTTTTATACGCACTTCACATATTCGAATTGTCTAGTTTAATTTTTACATTTGAAATTTTGTTCGAGTTTGTTATATTTATCATATCGAATTAAATATTACATTAAAATTTATTTAGAACAAGATTCCCACGCGGAATATAGGAAATAGAGAAGATAATTTAGCAATTGCAATAGGCGTAGATAAATTGTATCCGAGCACGTATAATGATTTGTAAACTTAAAGTTTCCATTGTACACTTTTCAATTGAAAGAATACGCTCCTTTCAGATTAATTCTCACGGAATGTTATTTCGTGTGCAGTGTAATGAATTTCTTTGAAAGTTACGCACCGATTTCCGTTTTAATTAAATACGTATTTCCATCAGATGATTACTTATGCATTTGCTAATAGTTAATCATCGTTTTGGAAGTGTGCGAGTGCATTCCCGTTACTATGTTCGTTTAGCTTGTAAGTAAATTGTCATCGGTACCGGACTCGATATTACGCGAAGATTCAAGTTCTGCGAACTCGAATTATGTGAGTGAGATGTAAAGTTAATATTTTTACGTGCAACCTGTAATCGGAGATCTATCTAAGTTAAAATTATAAATAATCTCGCTTCGAAGTGTCTTGTAAATGTGTGACGATAGAGAGAGGATTGTATGCTGAGATTATATAGTTTAACTATATCGCAGAATTTGTTACAACACGGCCTCAGTATGTGCTGTAATTCTAAGTCTGATTTTATATGTACGGAAGAGAAGAGAATATTGTAGTGCCGATAAATACGAGATGTTAGGGATATGAGAATTTTATCGAGGGAAACGGGGGGAAATAGCGCATTAAGTGTATGATATGTAGGAATACCGTTGTTAGACGTCGGGCTTATAATATTACGAGATAACATTGATACACCAATAAATACGCAACTGCCATCAACGTACAGATAATGTGAAATGAATAACGAGTTTGTATTGCGTTTCCACTGGTTCAATCGCGTTAGATTTGTAAGATAACGTTGGCGTCTATCTTCGCGAGGAATTTGATAGTTGCAAGTATTGATAAGGGACAGTAAAGGATCCTAGCAAAGAATAGGCCGACGGTTTTGGTGTACGTTGAAATGTCTCTATCGGAAAATAAATGTCCTGGGAGATATATATTTTTCGGTGAAGAATGAGTACCTTTGCAAGTAAAGGCTTTTTACTGGCTCAATCTATCGTCGCCTTGCGCTTCGTCCTATATGGATACTGTTGATCGTTCAATTTTAGAATCTTTTGTTGAAAATATTATCGATTATGACGGTTTTCGTCTCGATTTTTCTCGCTGATAAATGTCCCGTAATATTGTCAAGTAAGATTGAGAAATTCTCCATAGAGTATTTCGGAAACGATAGCAAATTTCTGACGCATAGATATCCATTGACCACAAATAGAAGGGATTGGTTCTAAGGATAATTTTTGTAAATTGTGACACTCGTAATACATTTTATATCTGTGACATACGAATTAGGTATATCTTAGATGCATATATTATAATATATTATGATATTATAATATATATATTACAACACACATGTTGATAAAGTTGCAGAGATGCCGCGTGTAAGTTTTATATATATATATATGTATACGTGAACTCTAGATTTGTACATATTCTAAATGTAGCTTTCGTAAACTTGTCCTATCGCAATTGTTTATATATAGAGAATTCGCGCTTGTTTTTTAAATACCGAGACATAGAAATGGATCCCGTGCTATACCTTCGCCGAAATGTAACCAGAGTTCTATTTGTGGTGAATGACAGCTTATTGCGACCAACATCATCGTTAGTCATACAGTTGATCGACGATAAACTTTCGTCGAGAAATCTATGCAGTCGTTACAGCTGAAATATGCACGTTTCTAATCCTTACACATGAGCTTTAAGTTGAGAATTCGAGTGGCGATGCAGAATGTGCAATTAAACTATCGTCTCTTTTTCTTATTATTTACCATCGTTCGTTCGCAACAAAACAACTCGAAAAATATTAATGTAAAATGCGAATGCGGTTGGCTCTCGCTCGAGATAGAGCTCAAAACGGTGATATGTCGCAGTGGGACGGCGAGCGAGAAAAAAAGAAGATTTTAAGATTAGCGTTAAAGTTGAACAGAAGTATTAATCGAGCTGTAATTGTAATGTATGTATAGGCCGGTTTATGGAGCGACGCGATTTCGTCTTTGATGTAACATATTGCTATATACTGTTCACGCATTCTGAAATTCCAAGTTGATGTACGTTTATGGAGAATAAAATTGCGGATTACAATGATAATAACAATAGTGATAATCTATACCGTATATTATTAATATTAGGATTCATTGTCATAATTATAACTATTGATATTATAATAAAGAATAATACAAATTAAAAGATTATTACATCAATGATTACTTAGCAACTATGGGACGGGAATGCGGAGGGAGGGGAGGGGGAGGGGGGGAGATTAAACAATCGGAGACGCCGTTGTATTTTTCGATCCTTTTATTAAGTTTATCATAATGCTTCGAATCGATACAATGATTTCTGTGGTATACTGTCGTCTTTCGGGCCACAACGTCGACGATCGTCTCTCCCGCGCACGAACGTATGTGCCTCTGAGATCATCATACACGAAAAATGCGTATACGAAATCGGCGACCAGCGGACGCCGCGCGGTGTATTTCCGGTGTGTAATATGCGAAGTGAGTAGGCGCGCTCTCGCGTTGTCGAAACACGAAGAAATCAATCCAAAAATATCGTCGTCTCTGTGGGCGCGACACCGGGGGATCATCGGGCAAATTGGTCGAGTCGGGCAGACGGCGGGACGAGGGGAGGGGAGGGGAGGGAAGAGGGGGAGATGTGAAGGAGCGAATTACAGAGAGGGGTGATACGGCTGTTCTTTAAGCGACGACAGTTAACGCCGTGACACCGATGACACTTCGAGAGGCGAAAAAAAAGAAAAGAAAGAAAAAAGGGGGAGGGGAGGGGGAAAAGACAGTTAAATGCAGTTTAACAATCAGCGTTCTTATCAGCGTGCACGTCGAACGTGTACGGCCGTCTCTCGTTATTTCTACATCTTCTGCCTCCTTTTTTTTCTCTCTCTCTCTCTCTCTCTCTCTCTCTCTCTCACTCTCCGCTATCGCGTGTAGACGGAAGTCGGAGAGGGTGATGGGGATGGCGGGCGAAGGAGAAACGGAGAGACCTGGGACGTCGAGGGTGGAGAAGGATGAGGAGGATAAGGGGAGAGGAAGAGAAGAGCGCACGAAGGATATAAATATATAATAATATCTTATACCGCGCGTATTTTCGTAAAGTACGCTAAACCTTATTCCTTTCTCGTCAATCTCACTCGCGCGCACGCACGCACACACACTCTCTCTCTCTCTCTCTCTCTCTTTCTCTCTAGCTCTCTCGCACGTCGCGTCGGTATTATCGATCTGTATTTCTTTTTTTCCTTTTCTTCGTTTTGTTATCGTTTCATTTATTAAATGTAGAGTAGAGCCTATAAAGGGACGCCCGGAGGTGCACTCACAGCGAACCCCGGGCGCGCTTTTTTTTTTTTTCTCGTATACTAGCTGTGCCGGAACGCACTTGTACTGGTCGCACGATCGGCGAAGGATTCGGCTAAAGATGACCATGGTCGTCGAGACCGAGATCGTTATACAATGTTTTAAACGTTGCGTGTTTAAAAAGATCAACAGCGAAATATACGTCTCTCTCGAAAACGAGCGAGTCAAGATCGTCAGATCCCAGATTGGACCCAGCATTGTGCATGAATGAACGCGAATGAACACGAGCGAATTCTAGTTCTACTTCAAGGAAACACGTTAGGTCTTTTATCATTAGGGCAGAGCACGGATTCTTGCATAACGCATAAGGTACAAGAAAATCAATCCCAACCGGAGTCTCTTATTTCATGGAAAAGAAGATGAAGGGCTTTGATTGGTTCATTTTCTTATGCATTATGCAAGAAAACTGTCCCCTCGTTCTTAGGTTGAAGAAAAAAAAAAGATTGTTACGCTCGTTCGTGTTCGTTGCAAACGTTCGCTCGCAATCGTTCGTTCTTGCTAGCCTGGATCATCTGGATCCACACGATGAACATATGCGAGTTGCACAATAATCCGTATTTTATCGCTAAAGATTTAACGTTCATCCGGACAGGATTCGATTGAAATAAGGACGAAGGTGAATCAATAAAAGAACGAGAAGAGAACTGTAATCGGCAGCCAATCTTTAGCCGAGCGATTCGCTCGCGACATATTATTTAACAACAGAGTTTAACCACCTAATCGCTCGGAGGATACTCGTAACTCCTCATCTTCGCCTCGGCTTTGTTTATACAGTGAATAGGATATAAAGATCCTTTTTTTTTTCCTCGTTTTTACCTACATGCTAGGCAATAAGTGATCCAAATTTGCAATTCATTACGATAATTAAATCGATGAACGATAAACGGAAAGAAAGAAGGCAAAAAATTCCAAGGTGTGAATCGTTTGAAAAAAAAAAAAAATGAAAAAAACATACATCTGTCTTTTTTTTTCTGTCTCGAGTCGACGATAAACTTTAATAACCCATAGATACTTATTATCATCATAATGATACAATTACAGTTTGCGATTATCACAATGCGAGAACCGCCAATAATAATAGTAATAATAATAATAATATCAATGATAATAATAATGGCAATAATATAATAATTAAAAATAAACTAGTTAATAACTAATAATAATAATAATCTTCGCCATACTAATTACCATCGTCATTACAATGATTCATTTAGCCGTTATGGTTGCCTATATACTATCCTCTTTTATATATACTTCTATATATATAGCTACAATATATAATATTTTCGTGTTGAAAAATCGTATACATTAGTGTTGTGTCGCAGGACCATTGCTTCTCTCTCTCTCTCTCTCTCTCTCTCTCGCTCTCTCTCTCTCTTTCTCGTTCATTCTCGCACCTTTATTTCTCTCAATGCGTCTGCCATGTATCATTCCGCGTTCCGCTATATATCTTTCTTTTGCTGTTGATGGATCGCAGATGAGAAGGGTAAGAAGGGGGGGGAAAAACACTGTCGTCGATGGCTGGAAGCATTCGTGTCAATATAAAGTCTCCAAGTCAAAAATTCAGAGAGAATTGCAGATCGCGGAATACTGCGGACTAATCCGGAGCGAATCGCAAATTCCCTTTTCTTTTCTCGCGCAGGCCGTTTATAGGGCGTTTTGCGCGCGCATTAATTCCGCGAATGCAGAAGCTCTTCGCTTCGTAAAAAAACTTAGAAATATTTGTTACGACGTAATCTCTGGCAAAATCGCGAGATGCACGACGTTTCTTGATACGTCCGTCGAGGTGGGGATCCCGATTCCGAGGGCGACGAGGTCTCGCGTCTCGGTCGACATTATTAATTAACGTAACGTGGAGAATTGAAAAAGAAAACGAAGGGAAGGAGGAAACAAAACATGCGCACGAGTAGATCCTCGAATTGTCGATATTTCGCGATTCTTCTTTCCGTCGACAGCCTATCGGTATATCCGCGGGCGAGAAACGGCGTCCGAGGAGAAGGCGAATCAGATGGAAATCTTGGGCGATTTTAGGTGAGAACACGAGTGCCTCCAGACACGAGCGCGTTACGTAATCTTAATAGCTTAATATCGATTTTTAGTTCGTATTACTCGCCGTTCAAAGGCGAGCCTCGGATCACAGATAGTGAGGTGATCGGATTGCGCGAGCGTTATTCGCGATAACAACGCGGTCTCGTTATTCGTATTCTTTTCCGCTTTTTCTCTCTCTCTCTCTCTCTTTTTCGCTCATTCTCGCACTCACACATACACGCACGCAAGTTCTCTCTCTTTCGCTTTCTTTCTTTTTTTTTTTTTTTCTTTAAGTTTTGTCAGTATGCGTTCTTCCTGCGTTTCTCCTAAGGATTTCAAGGCGACAGCTCCTGAAAGCAAACAGCATCCGGCATCGTGTACGCGCGCGAATTCACAGTGGCGTGAAAAAAGATCGTCCGAGAAGATTCGCAAGAGGGACCTATCTCTCCTCGTCGTCGGAAACGTTCTCGCAAACGATTCCGACTCGATGCAGACGTATACATCCGCGGCGAACGAACTGTTTCGTTTATCCAGGAAAGTACCGGGTATCCCGACTTGTCCTCAGGCAACTGTGCACGCGCGCGCGCTCACGTATCTTTCTCTCTTTCTTTCTTTTTTTTTTGTTCATTCGAAACGCAATCCTCGTGTGTCCTCTGCTCGGTTCGTTACAACAAGAGATCTCTTTTCCCGCCGCACGCGGAATAGCGTGCGAGGTATACAGATATACGAAAGTATAGAATGTATATATAATATATATATTTTTTTTATACACATGTATATATATATATATATATACGTATACACAATACATATGTACCTACGTACGTACGGCCAACTAAGGGTAGACAGGCGCAATCACGTGTCGAATCCGATTGATCGGCCGCGCTTAGGATTTTTGTTCGTCGACGTCATGAAAACCGGACGATCGACTTCTCTCTCTTTTTTTTTTAAAGGCCTTTTTCGCTGTCGATTTCGGATTCAACATTCTATATGTGTACGTGTGTGTTGTGTCGTGGGTGATAAAATCGATAAAGACGAAGGGATAATTGGAGATAAATAAATTTAATGAAACTTTCGTGCTCGGTAGCGCAATTACAAAAAAGAAAAATGGGGATGGGGAAGGGAAAAAATTTAAGCGATTCGTTCGCGAAAATACAGTCATGCACATCAATTTTCCAAAGCAATCGCAATCCTTGATCAATTTGCCCCGCGTTGTCGAATTCGAGACGCGAGCGATTAGAAATAGGCCGATAAGTTTGAAACTCCGAGCCAGTCCGAGCTACGTCGAAGTTTTTCTACGGTGGAGACACATGCGTTCCAAGAACTTTGATTCTTGGGAACGTATCTCGAGAGCAAATTCTAAGAATTCTCTTTTCAGAACTTTTTTTATATTAGAGTCGTCCAACTGTTATTGACACAAGTATAAAATTAACGCAAGTTTAAGAATCAACTCTTATGCCCGTTTCCACCAATGTAGATTTACTTTAATCTCGGTTCCACTTGCTCTTCGTCTTCCTCCAGTTCTAAAGGTAGAAAAAGACGAAGAATAAGTTGAGATTAAAGTTAATCTACATTGGTGGAAATGGAGGAATTAGGCTGGTATTCATAGTCGGTTTTTATATTTAAGTACAGTCTTAAGATAAGTCATAAGCCGTATTATCATCTTAATGGACTTTCAACAATAAGCTTTAAGTCTTAAGCTGTAAGAAATTGACCAATCACAGTCGAATGTAAGAAGAATAATCGACTATGATCAGTCAATTTCTTGCGGCTTAAGGCTCAAAACTTAGTTAATAGCTTATTATAGAAAGCTCGTTAGATATTAAATTATTTAAGTCGATTTTGAAATAAGAATCGACTATGAATGCCAGCCTAAATATATTTTTTTAAACAACTTTTCGCGGATCCCTTGTGACTAAGGGTGTAAGTTAAAACGTCACTACAAAGACTTTGAAACATTTCGTTGACCAATTTAGAAGAAAAAATTTTACTAACTGATCATTTGTAGCATCACGTTGACTGAAACAGAAAGTCGACTTTTATTTCCTCAGCGAGTTCGAACCTCTCAGCGTACGCAACGTGCAAAGGATCGTGATTGCATTTTAAAGCTCAACTTAGAAAATAAAGGGTACGGGATTCAGACTGTGTTTGAACGTAAAAGACATTCGCCAGCATTACATAAGAATAAGATTAACATGTCGGGAACGAGTAACAAGACATTAACGTAAGAGTCGTGTTCATATGTTGTGAAAAATGATATTTACGCACAGCGTTTCCAAAATAAACTGCAGTCTCTAAACGGGTCTTCACAAGTTGATTAAAAAAATCAATTAAATTTATTAAAAAAAATAATAATAATAAAACTACAAAAAAGTAAAAACATTCTCGGTGCCGATGATGTCACAATTATTTCACGTCGTACAATAAAATAATGATGGAATACTTTTGGTCTTAACAATAGAATCTTACAATTAGAGAAGCTTGGAAACGCCGCTGTTAACGTCCTTGTTAATGTTGTAGCAGTTGTAAATGTGATTGGTCTGTGTACGCTCTCTCCCTAGCTAGACGCGTGTACGTCGACCTATTGTCTTCAGAGAAACGAACTTCCGCCGTAAGGAGAGCACACTGACCTACGCCTTTGTCGCTCGCGTATTTTTTTTTTTCTTTCCGTTCACTTTGCTCGTCCGCTCTGTGCACAGATCTCTCGCGAAAAATTGCTTGATAAGGCCGAGTCCGGATAACAAAGGATACGTGAACGGAGACGCGTTTGATACGTTTCACGACCGATGATTCTCTTCGATCCCGAGCACGGAGATACGCTCGCGTATACATTTGTTGATAACAAACAACAGCCAGACGATCGCTCGACTTAATCGCTCCGTCATCTTCCGAGTTCCGAGCTTGCCACCTGCCTTCTGCGATGAGCTCGGACGGTCCACGCGTACGTCCGCACGTATCCTTCTTCCTTCTGATACAGAACCAAAACGAGAAGAGAGTTGCTCGAAGATTGAAAACGAACACTATTTATTAGGAACACCAGCAGAACGACCGTGTATCATATATTTCGTATACGTTTTTTCTTTCACCGTGTGTGGCGTGTGCCATGTTGTGTCGTGTTGTGTCTTGTCGATGGGATTGCGTTGCTGTGATGTGATGTTGGTTCTCGTTTATCGCTCGATCGCTCGATCGCTCGCTCGCTCGCTCCTCTTTGCACGCATCGCTCGTACAATCTCTCTCTAACGCCTAACACGTCGCGCGTGTGTCCGCCTCGGAAGGAAAGATGAGGGAAGAAAGAAATCACAAATGTGAGTCTTTAGACACGCGGTCGCTTTTCGTTTTCCCGGTCGGAATCAGAGTCCGCTGAATCGTGGAGAGGCGGAAATTCGGGCACCGCCTCGCGCTGTTGCATCCATCCCGCCGCGCCTGGCCCCCCAGCCAATGCCTTGCCCTGCGTCATGTTTTTCGATTGTTTGTTTTTTGTTTTGCAATTGATTTTTAGCCCTCTGTCTTTATCCCCTGCAGGATGGCGACAAAATAGCGTGTCATTGGTCACTAAGCCTCGCCTCGATACCCGGTAAAAAAAAAAAAGACTTGCTTCGCTTCGCGCTTCGCTCTCTAAGAAGAACGTTCGGTTTTTCTACCCGCTCGGCGTCGAGCGAGTACGTCGAACTTTCTTCAAGCTCGGCCACGTTGCATCGGCTGTACGGGAACGAGAAACAGAGATATTTTACCTTCTATATTTATTACAAAAATTACTAGCGAAAATTTCAAATAGATACTCGAATTTATAGTGCAGCTCGAACAGTCAGCGAAACTCGATATCTTGAAACTGTTTCGCGTTATTACTTGCGATCACTTGTCTCTCGTTATCCGCGTCTCGAAAGGATTCAGGACACTTGTCTCAGTTTCGTCCACGAAACTTGTTAACTCGGATATCGGGAAATCCTTCCGAACTCGCCAATGCAACGAGCCAGCGTCTATTCTACTGTCTACGCGAAATTTTGAACTCTGCAAAACGAGCTACAATGAAATTTTTCATTCTATTCACTCCCTCTGTCACGCTTCTTTCTTCCATCTTTCGATCTTCATCTTTTGCTTATTCATTCAAATAACTCCAACCAATCAATCTCTCTTTCTCTCTCTTTCTCTCAGATCAGAACAAAGGCGCGGACAAACACACACGTACTACCTTGTAAAACCAATATACACGTGGGCCTCAGAAAATAGCATTATCGTAATTCGCGACGTTTTTTTTTAGATCCATCAAATTAGCGTTGACAAACTAAGTTTCCTAATCTTCCGTGACTTGCAAAAGCGTACTTTAAGATCGCGTCCAAAGACCGACAGTGATTTTTTCGCTTCGGAGGCTCTCGTGTCTTGAAACTCTACATGCAGCCATGCATGTCACGAAAACTATCTGCCCTAGTATCTCTCCAACTATAAGATACACTCCAACGTTGCCTTGTTTTCCTTCTATCAGTCTATATATACATATTATACGTGTGAAAAACTGTGTGTGTATGTGTGTATGTATGCGTAAAGAGCTGCCTTTAAGTAAATCTCTAAGAATTAAGTAGCCGTGTAAAGAGCGACATATGAAACCGCGCGCAATGCGTAGGGTGCGTGTATGCTGCCATATATTTATGTACAAACGGATATAGATTCGGATATAGATTCACACGTCACTGGTCTTCCGATGTTGGTCTCTCAGACGTCGAAAAAGAGGAGGAAGGCAACAGAAACGTCTTTCGCGCGAATAATTTCAAGGCCCTGTTTTCCAAATTCTCTCGCAACTGGAAGAATGTCGGTGTTAAAAGTAGCAGTTCGCACTCCTTACTCCTTACTCGTCCGAGACACTCGTCGCGATCCACTAACAATCGAAACTAAGACTTATCGCTTGCTGCCACCAAAACTTGTACTATCTATATAACAAACGGTCTATCTAACGTATCTCTACAACCTAAAAAAAAAAAAAAAAGGAGAAAAAGAATAGTCCCAATATCAAAATCTTATTGCACACTTAGCGAGATCTAATCCTAAGGGAAGAGCTCGAAGGCGAGACCGTCTTTCTGGAGGGTATAATAAACGCACGGACGAAGAGTCCTCCGCTTTACCCGGAGTTTGCGTGTCGTCTCGATGTGTACGAAATTCGATATGGAACATCCGGAAAGATCCAAAAGCTCGGTCTGTTCGACTCGTCGTTGCGTTCTCCAATTCTTCCAATGTCGACGTATTCTTCAGGATGATAGACCAATGCAAGAGAAGTTAAATAAAAGAGGTAATCATTCTCAATCACGCGCATCGAATGATATCTTTGATACTTGATATCAAGATGTCCCGGATAGCCAAGTTT